GGCATCTGCAGGTAATGCTGGGTGCACACAAAAACACAACATCTCCAAGGTCTACTCTACCGTGGAATTCTGTGTTTTGCCTTAGCGCTGGTGAGTACATGTTCTGCATGTATGGTTAGTATGCTTCTAGTTGAAAAGAAGATGTAATCGTTAGTCCCTGTAAGTTTTTTGAAACCTAAAGTCGTGCCGTCGATTATAAAGCCTGGTTGAGCATATTACACTGAAGTTCTTCCCATCTTCCACATAGTTTAGTATCCTGAACTGGTATCTTGCCTACCCTAGCTGTCGGGTCGTCCAAATTATGCTCATGGTTTGCTATCAGCACCAGTTTTCATTGGATTCTATAGTACTATCATATTTCCTGATCTTGTTCTATTCACTTAATATTTGGTTTATACTCGCCTCCAACATTTCCCTTGTTTTACTGTCATCTCACAAACAGCGTTGTGTCATCCTGGGGCACCACCGTGCTAGTTTTCTAAAATGATAATATCAAATTTAAATGGAACATATGCCCGCGCTCTACTTAAAAACAGTATAAGAAGGCTTCAGAAATTTCCTGCAATTTATTTTCAAAGGCGCAAAAATGAAAAAAAAACATTAAAAATCTGGACTGAGTTCCTCGGACTTACCATTTCTAAATTGGAATTCCTTTTCAGGTAGGAAAAGAAAAGCTTAATTTATAGCACAGTAATCAGTGGCGGAGACAGGGGGGGCGAGCAGGGGCCTGGCCCCCCTATCGATCGACAATTCCTTCAGCAGCTACGAGTAATTAGCGCTGGATCAAGGGAATACACGAAGTTGGCCCCCCTTAACTCAAATGATGGTGAAAACTGAGAATAAAATCTGAAAAAAAGGCCCATCAGAAAGCCCATTCATGGCCTCCTCCGTTCCTAGTACGCTTCCGGCTTTATTTTACGCTAAAAAAGGTCAACCACGGCGTGACTAAGGCATGACTTGAGGCGATTAGATCCCGTAAAAAAGCTTGAGGCGATTAGAGCTGGCGGCGGCCGCGGCCTAATCAGGCAACACCAGCACCGTGATTGGGAAATCCTGGAGCACACTCTTCCAGTATTCTAGAGGTCCAGCGCCATGGTTTGCACTATGGAGTACTACCCCTCACAACTCTCATCTTGTACGTGTTGAAATTATACATCGAATTTTAGTTATTTTGATGGTGAGGTCAATGATTCTAATTCATTTTTAATTTCATTTGATTGCTTGATTTCCGAGGTGATCATGAAGAGCAAAGTGCAGACAAACTTCATAAAGATTAATTTGATTTGATTTTTAAACATGAGGTTAATGCACGAGTTACCAATCCTAGTCCAATGGAATATGACTTGCTTCGAAATTGCATGATGATATACATTCATAGGAAATTACTGTAGAAATTAGGTTATCTTCGAATGAAATTATTAATATTTTTTATCTTAGTGGCAATTGTAGGGAAAAAAATTAAACTAGTAACAGTACAAATATATTTGTGTTTTAATTGCATTGAGACGACACATTATTATGGTACTTATTTTTTGCGTTGCACTTTTTTTAAACTTGGCTCGGCCCCCCCTATACCCAAATCCTGGCTCCGCCCCTGACAGTAATCACATAATGCCTACAAATTACAAAGTAGGGTGGATTATGAATGGCAGGGCAAATCATCGTTTGGCAGGGACGGACCAGCAGTCTCGCCGACCCGCTGACTGTCAGCCTACATGCCAGAGGAGAACCGCACTGTGATTTTCACCCTCTACCTGATACAGCTAATTGTGTCATGTGTGCACGGCACACTATATGTTTCTTTGATGGCAGCTAGCAGTCTATCCTACTTGGGAGACGAAATCTGGATATGCCTGGCTGTTCTACCGAGCGGGAACGATATATTCTTGGGAAGCTTCTCTTTTAGCTAACGGTGCTGTGCCGCGCTGCATGTACACGTGCCTTTGATTCTAGCTTGGATATGGAAGTGCATGTGTTGCATTCACCAGGTTGTGTCGTGTAAAAGCCAAATCACTTTCCAGTATTCTTTGTCTGTTATTCTCAATTTAGGCCAAAATGTGTTCATAAAATCTCGCAAGGTTTGGATGGCATTTACAATAGACTGGAAAATACACGGCATAGTTTTGATTTTGCCAGACTTGCAGTAAACAAGAGAGTGGAGGAAATACAAACTCAATCCTTTGACTGAATTGAAGTCAATCTGTTTTCTCAATAAGAGGATTTTATTGACTTGAACATCGCTTCTAGGCGATACAACCACGCAGTGGCAAGTTAAGGTTTGAGCCGCTGGACCCTCGATCTCCTCAAGAAAGGAAACATTGATGATGCTTCTTCTTGCTATTCGTCCTAGTGAGCAGAGCGCTAAACAATGTACGTACAAAAAGATGGAAATGGTCGTCAACTCACAATCACATCACATTTCGTGGACCATGGCACATGGCATCTTGCTAGTGGAGCGAGAGAAAGGCCTAGCCTGTGGCGGCAGCACATTCTCCTCCTGATCTCCTTGGTTGATTCCCCTCTGCAAGCTTTCTCTCTTGCTGCGTGAGAGCTTTCTCAAGGAGAAGGAATCGCAAAATCCAAGTCGCAAACAGAAAGGGCATCCGATCTAATCTGATATTGGAATAAAACAGTAATATTCTTCTCTTTTTCTTTGGCATTTCCTTTCAGCGAACCTTTTCTTTTCTCCTCCTTTTGGCCTTGATCCACGGCATCGGTTGCAAACACGATGAAAGGAGCATGTGCTCCATGGATATGCCGTTCTCGGTAGCGCATAAATACATGTCGCGCCATCGGTTCTCCTCCTCTAACCAGCCAACACCGACAACAGCAACAACAATAGCTGCTAGAACAGGAAGGAACCCATGTCGGTGGCGGTGATTACCAAGGGAGATAGATGTATGATGTATGTGTGTGAGTGTGAAGGTGCATTGCAGGGCAACTGCTCCATTGGCAGAGGGATATGGATGTGGCTTACGCCTCTTACGTTGCTCTTTTGTCTATCTGCCAAAGGAGATTTGCCCCGCGATTCACCACCACCTGTTCGTGCCTTGCTGCGACTATTGTTGGTCTCCCCATCGGAAGGTATGCAATGCATGTGTATGAAAAAGCATTTGGCTGAATTGATGACTTCTCTGCTTGCCTTTCTCCCAGCAGCAGAGGGAGGAAGAACCGCATCAACTCAGTGCCCTCTCGGACGACCCGCTGCTCCTCTTGGGCCTGCCTCCGCTATGCAGCACAGCACCGCCTCCGTCCACCGCCTCGGTATCACACAATTGTTTGACTATAACTTGGTTTACTCCCCCCATCACAGTTTAAAGGGCGTACCTCATATCTCTTTAGGCCCAAGGTTGCTAGCGATTGGTAGGAATAACCGATGCGTTGGAGCTGCAGTAGTTAAGGATATGCGCCTAATTAATCGCCAAACAAACACATAGTAACCTCCCCGTCCAGTAAAAGAAGGAAACCATCGCATGCATTGGTGGAGTAATTTCAGTTCACACCATGCATGCGCACCAGGAAGGTAAACGGAAGGAGCTAATTCCTCCCAAAACGATGCAGTTAATAGGCTAATTAATGACATGCGCCCTATTTCCCTCTAATTGTGAAAAATTCTGGTTTTGAAGATACGCCCTTTAAACTGTGATAGAGGGAGTATATTCTTTGGAATAATTATATCTAGCATCTTCTCAAATTCAGTCAACCTAATTGAATGACATTATTTTTTACTCGATCATCACTAAAGTTTGAAATAGCGACCTCGCTATAGCGTTTTGAGGGGCATCATGCTAAACAACACCATGTACAATTTAGCACATTCTATGGCTGCCGCTATGCTAGCTATTTAAAATTTTGGTCCTTACTGAGAAGCGAATTATTGTTGATGCTGATTTTTGTCTCTTGGTATGTGTTGCATTATATTTGCCAGCAGCAACAATCTTTGCTCATATAATGCCCCTGCACTAGCATGCATGTACCGTACCAAGCATGCCAATCAAAATTGTTTGTGGACAAGATTTTCATCCTCCAGATAGTGGATTCATGTTGTACATTGACAAGATCATCATTTCCGACGATGGCCAACTCCTTATAACACCATTTGGTTCCAGTAATTTGCCTGGTTTGCTGCACCAGTAAGCTGAGCAGCACGCACTCTTAGTTATATTCAACTGTCGAAGTGATGGAAGTAAATTGAACATCCTCTGCAGATTTATCTAGTTTTGTTGAAGAAACACATGGTGTCGACATTTAGAACCGCTGCTTAGCAGAATCAGTAGGAGCACATGAGTATTGAGAAAGGTTGGCCAAATATAATATATCACATCCATGATTGATTGGCATGGCAAGCACTACACAATTCACTTAAGTTAATCGGTTAAAGCAACCAAGCAAAAGTACTCCAGATGTGAACCAAAGAATTTGCAGAGGTATGGATGAGGATCATGTCAGTCATAATTTTGGTAGCCATGCATGAACCCTGAGGAAGAGGCAAATTGAAACAAGCTCTGGTCAATAATTCAGTATAGTGTATAGTGGTTAGGTCAGCAAAGATTGTTGGCAACTGGCAAAGGGAAATTAGCAAATTAATTCTTAAAACAGAATTTAACAGGAAATTATAGTTTATACCAAACCCGAATGCCCGTAAAATTCAGATGAGACAACTAGTTCGCTTCAGCTAATTTAGAAACCCATTTTGGCTACTGAATGCATATCCAAAGCAGAACAGAAGGCCGTGAGTAACAGAGGATTGCATAAAACAAAAGGAGCAACCATGGTAAGGGAGCCTGTGCTAAGGAGATCAAACTAATTACTGCCAATTCCGTAGTAATATAGATGTGAGGATGTGTGCGCATAGGTTAAGCAGTAAGATATCATATTGAGCTAATTACAGGGATACACATGTGCAGCCAGACTTTGTAATTGGCATGTCTATGTTCAGAACTTGAAAAGCATAAGCACTAACTTAAGTTGGCATTAGGCTTCAACAAAAGCTAAAAGGATTAACAGAGCACGCAGAACATACACTTACCAGAGCAAAGATAAACATAGCATTGCACGGAAGGATACGCCTTGAAGATGTCGTTTATTATTGTGCGTCTATGTTCCCTTGACCACACATCACGTGACAGCTTCAAAGTCATTTTTTTAAGTGCCGGAGAACATCCGAGCATCAATTTTAAGAAATCAAACTCATGACCCGCCCCTTCAAAGCCAGTGATCTCCACTTCTTGGAGATGAGTAAAGGAGACAGTTTGGGATCTCCAGTCCATGGGCTGACATGGACAATTCGGTAGGCATCTTTCTCTCACCTAAAACCAAAAAAAAATGTGAATTACTACTACACAATGTACATTACTGAGATACGTAATCAGAGCTGAGAATTACCGGTGTTCTCCATAGGACGAGCTTAAGCCTCCGCACACCTGGACGAATCCGATTCATTCCAAGGAGAAGAAACACAATTGCTCCAAAAACATGCCCGATTGTTTCGAGATGAAGCTCCAGAGCGGAGAAGGCAACAACCATATACTTCACTATCTCTTGCGTGAAGCTGATCGCCTCGCCGGGGAAATTTGACCGGAACTGAAAAGTAATTGAAGGATACTTATACAGATAATAATTTTTGGTTACTCCATCGCAGTAAATTGAGAGCAGGAGAGGAGACATACTATGGAGGCATGAATCTGCAGCGAAGGGAGCTGTCCTTGGCTCTCTGAGGTCTCTAGAGAGACCTGCTCAAGCTCCCAAAGACCAAAGGTAACAGACCCCGCCCTGTAGCAGCAGTGCCACGAGACCTTCTCCACCATTGGAGCCAAGACGGAGATGCTGACCTCTGTGGCTATCAAGGACACGGACAATTGCTTGAGCGCGGGGGCGACGATGTCGACGCGGTGTGTCAGCCCGCTCTCGCGGTCCACGGCCAGCTCCTGCAGCGACGCCGAGTTGACCCTCAGGTCGCCTTGGTCAAACAAGAAGCCGCCGAGCCGGAGCGTGCGCAGGCGCGGGCAGTGGCGGAGCAGGGCGTCGAGGTGGGCGTGCGCGATGCCGCAGGACAGGGACAGCGCCTCCAGCGCCGGGAACTCGGCGCCGTCGGGCACGCGGAGGATGAGAGGAAGATTCGCAGCGCGATGGAGGTGGCGCGGGGCAAGCAAGGCAGGTCGACGACGAGGGAGCCGGTGACCAGATCGGAGGGGAGGTCGAAGACGAGCTCCTCCGGCTCGAGCCGCGCGGCGGCGCGGAGCAGCGAGTTGGCGCGGGCGGTGCCGACGCGGAGCAGCGAGTTGCCGCGGGCGGTGTCGGCGCGGCGCTCCTTGGGGACGCGGATCTCGAGGAGCGAGACCGCGGGGGAGAGGCGGCCGAGCGCGGCTTCGAGCCTGTGGAGGGCGACGCAGCGGAAGACGATCTCACGGAGGCGGGCCGCGAGGCCGCGCCACCGGCGCGAGATGAGCCCCGTGCGCGCGGCGGCGCGGGCGCAGCGGAGGCGGGCGAGGAGGAGGAGGAGCAGGTCGTCGGGGAGGGCGCTGATGCGGTCCGCTCCGGCGCGCAGCCGGGCGGAACGCCGGCGAAACTCCATTGACGGCCAGATCTCAGGGGATAGGCGGGGCGACCACCTACTCTCCTCGCTCTCTTACTCTCTTTTTTTGCGACTTTATTACTGTATAACTCTTTTCTTTTTTTATTTTTTTTCCTTTTTAAGCTGCGCTCACCGGATTTTATTCATTTAACGCTCTATAGCCTCCATATCACACCTTTTTTTTGCGGGAAAGAACTTGTATTACTCAATAGCATTGTTGAGGAAATCATTAACTGGTAGCTGCTCGCTCGGTTGGTGAGTAGGGGAATCGGCAAGTTAATCGGCCATTTAATCAATTAATTGAATGATTTATCGAGTTATCGGCTACTCGGGGACCCCATGAGTAGGGATTAATCGGCAAGTTAACTGGTTAATCGGATGAATTCTTGAAGAGGGCTCAATAGTAGTATCCTTAAAATCAATTGCAACAGCCTGAAGGACCTCCGGTGGTCCAGACCCAACCCAGGTCATTGTTCTAGTGCCGTCTCTAACAAAAATTGCCAAAGAGATACTAGCTAAATTCTAGGTATTAAATACATGAGTAATACAAGAATTATTGCTTCTAAGTAACTTCTTAACATCGCGCAGGAGGAACGCGAACCTTGATCTATCATCCACTTCACTTTTTAACAACATTGCGGCAGTGGCAGAATTCACCTCAACTTGAATGGGGAACGTACTTTTTTGTATAGCAATCTCCAGCCCCTCTTTGCAGGCATACAGGACAGCTTCTAGTATCTCGCGACATGAGTATAGTTTTCTGCAGGAGGAAAAAAGTGATGTTCCCCTCGGCGCTCCTGAGAATCATTCCTGCTCCTGCTTCCCCGCCATCACCGAGCGTACCTGCAACATTTAGTTTAACTCGGCCAAGTGGTGGTGGAGACCACTTCAAAGTAGGTAGACTAGGCTTGCTTGAGCACATTCCTCCAGGATCAGCCTCCATATCACACTAATGTGCTACATGATTAAGGCTGTCCATAGTGGTAACATAAGTAATATCATGCACTTGGGACTCACACATATGCTTATATGGCAGTCAATTAAAGAAGAGAGGGATGGTTAGGCTGGTCATAGTGGGGAGTAACTTATAATAATATCATTCACACTAGTGGAAAAAGGACCTAATATGAGACACATTAGTTCCGGTTTGATTTTGATCCGGTACTAATGGTACCATTAATGCCGGTTCGAACGGCTATGCTTTAATGTCGGTTCGTGTTGAATCTTTAGTACCGGTTCATGCCACGAACCAGTACTAAGGGGGTGGTGGCAGGCTGGCGTCAGGCCCTGGCCCCACGATCACCTTTAGTACTAGTTCGTGGCACAAACCGGTACTAAAGGGCTAACATTTAGTACCGGTTCGTGGCATGAACCGGGACTAAAGGGGTCTGACCTATAGTCCCGGTTGGAGACACAAACCGGGCCTATAAGGCAATTTTCAAACTCTACCCCCCTCGGTGTATCGCCATTTCAGTTTTGAAAAAATCAAAAGAAAATGATAAAAACTTCAAAAAATTAAAATCCTTCGAGAGGTAGTTATATTACTACATCTATTAGTTAGGAAAATTTGAAAACTTAAATTTGGACATGTTTTGCAAAAAGTGTAGGGAAAATGTAAAAACGGTGATAACTTTTGCATACGATGTCGGGAAAAAACGTATAATATATCAAAAAATTCAGCACGAAAATCCGCATCCGATTTTGACAGCCTACATACAGCCTGTTTGCAGAATCCTCAAATTCCAAAAGGAAAAAAAGATATGCCCAAATTTCTTTTTTTTAATTTTGGTTAAATCTGGTCAAACTACTTATTCAAGAAGTATTAATGTTACTACACAATTAGTCAAGAATATTAGTGTTACTAAATAATTATTTCAATTTTTTGAATTTTGGTCAAATCTAGTCAAACTATGGTCAAACTATGGTCAAACTTATTCAAGAAATATTAGTGTTACTAAATAATTACTGGTCTTTAGAATAATAGTTTCAAACTCAAACGGTGAAACGTGTGACCTAATGCTCAAGCTAAACTTCTGAGGGTTAATAGGTTTGACAGCTTACGTTTGTTAGGAAAACAATAAGTGCATACTTGGAAAGTAGGGGAATAGAACTCCGAAGTTAAGCGTGCTCAGGCTGGGGGAGTGAGAGGATGGGTGACCGGTCGAGAAGTTAGACGATTTGGAATGAGTGATCCGCACTTTGAGCAGTTAAGAGGGGTGATTAGAGACTAAATCATCAAATAATTCAGAAAATCAAAGATTAAAAAAATCAAATTTTTTCTTCAAAAAATTCAAAAAAAAAACCTTTAGTACCGGTTGGCACCAACCGGTACTAAAGGTCCCCCATACCACGACGCGAGCTCACGCCACGTGGTGGGCCTTTAGTAGCGGTTCGTGCCGAACCGGTACTAAAGGGGGGGGGGGGGCTTTAGTGCCCACACTTTAGTGCCGGTTACAGAACCGGCACTAAAGGCCCTTACAAACCGATTTTAAAGCTCCGTTTTCTACTAATGTCATATGACACTAGTATAAGTTACTACCTTTATAGTGCAAAATGACATAGACTCTGAAGTTAAGCGTGCTCAGACTGGGGGAGTGAGAGGATGGGTGACCGGTCGGGAAGTTAGACAATTTGGAATGAGTGATCCACACTTTGAGCAGTTAAGAGGGGTGATTAGAGACTAAATCATCAACTAATTCAGAAAATCAAAAATTGAAAAAAAATCAAATTTTTTTCTTCAAAAAATTCAAAAAAAAACTTTAGTACCGGTTGGTAACACCAACCGGTACTAAAGGTCCCCCATACCACGACGCGAGCTCACGCCACGTGGTCGGCCTTTAGTAGCGGTTCGTGCCGAACCAGTACTAAAGGGGGGGGGGGCTTTAGTGCCCACACTTTAGTGTCGGTTACAGATCGGCACTAAAGGCCCTTACAAACCGATTTTAAAGCTCCGTTTTCTACTAGTGTCATATGACACTAGTATAAATTACTACCTTCATAGTGCAAAATTACATAGTAGTAGTGTCATAGATAGTCTCATTTATTAGCTTGTAGACTCATTTTGTCTTGAGAAACGATATGTTACAGTAACATATTATGTTACCACTTCTCATTAACTATTTTCCGCATAAGCACAATTTTCTTGAAGTGCGCTATGTTAGCCGGAGCTGACCGGTTAGAGATAAGGGTCGCAAGGGTCGCTTGCTTAGGGGTCAAGTAAAGCCTTCCTTGGGAGTCAAGTAAACCTCTCTATATAAAGAGAGGAGATGTATCAATCTGATCAAGCAAGAATTAAGAAGGAAATCCCTTCCCTTTTTGCCTGGGTAGCGGCTGCTGTGGTGTCGCGCCGGGCAGCGGCAGCGGCTGCTGCGGCAGAGCGCCGGGCACGGCGGAGGCCGCCAGGAGCGGCGGCTGCCACTGCAGCCTGGGCGGGGCGGTGGATGGCAGCTGCATCAGGCTGCAGTGGCAGCTGCAGCGGCCCGACGAGCGTGGCGGAGGCCGCCTGGTGCGGCGGCTGCCATGGCAGCGCGGTGGCAGCAATGGGCGGCGCAGCTAGGTGCGGCCCGTAGGACCCGGCTAAGAACATGTGGATCTCCTGAACCGCCTGGGTTAAGTCCCGCAGCGCCCTGGACACCTCCTCCGGGGTGAGGATGGCGGGGGCGAGCGCGACGAAGGAGCCCGGCGCGGGCAGGAGCGGGGCGATGGTCGTGGTGGTTGGGTGACGGTGAAGACATGATCGAAAAGATGTCCAGTAATGATCCACAAAGCTAATTGAAGCTGCAATAGATTCCTTCCCTTTACCAAATATCAAATCATTTCTCATATGCCAAACTCTCCAGAAAACTAATAAAATCTGATCACGCATAGTAGGGCTTAGTTGATTTAGGAGCACAAGAAACCAATCTTTCCCTGTATATGACAAATCCTCCTCCGCAGGTAAAACCCAAATGTCCCTTAAGGCCATACGCAAAGCAACCGCCTTCGGACACACGAGGAGCGCATGAAAGGAGCTCTCCTCCTCCATTCCGCAAATAGTTATCAGTGGATTGGTGATGCACCACTCTATTAGTCTGAACAGTGAGGTTATTACAAGCAACTCGCCGCTTCATCCCACAATACCGTTGAAGCAAGATAAGACTAGTAGCGGCAAGAAAGTTGACAACATCAACGCCCACAACAAATTGTGTTCTACTCGTGCAAGAGAACTACGCATAGACCTAGCTCATGATGCCACTGTTGGGGAACGTTGTAGAAAACAAAAAATTTCCTACGGTTTCACCAAGATCCATCTATGAGTTCATCTAGCAACGAGTGATCGGATGCATCTACATACCTTTGTAGATCGCGAGCGGAAGCGTTCAAAGAACGGGGATGAGGTAGTCGAACACGACGTGATCCAAATCACCGGAGATCCTAGCACCGAACGGACGGCACCTCCGCGTTCAACACACGTACGGTCAGCGTAACGTCTCCTTCTTCTTGATCCAGCAAGAGGGAAGGAGAGGTTGAGGGAGATGGCTCCAGCAGCAGCACGACGGCGTGGTGGTGATGGAGCTGCAGTACTTCGTCAGGGCTTCGCCAAGCGCTATGGAGGAGGAGGAGGTGTTGGAGAGGGAGAAGGAGGCAACCAAAGGCGTGGATCAAAAAGCCCTCCTTCCCCCACTATATATAGGGGTGCCAAGGGGGGGGGGGGCGCCGGCCCTAGGAGATCCAATCTCCTAGGGGGGCGGCGGCCAAGGGAGGTTTCCCTCCCCCCCCAAGGCACCTAGGGGTGCCTTCCACTTGTGGGACTCTTCCCCTTTGGAAACCCTAGGCGCATGGGCCCCTTGGGGCTGGTGCCCTTGGCCCATGTAGGCCAAGGCGCACCCCCCTACAGCCCATGTGGCCCCCGGGGCATGTGGACCCACCCGGTGGACCCTCGGGACCCTTCCGGTGGTCCCGGCACAATACCGGTGACCCCAAAACTTGTCCCAATGGCCGAAACAGCACTTCCTATATAT